AAATATCAATTAAATGCTGTTTTGTTTAAAAAGGAAAAAGGGAAATTCTGGAGAAAACTGATTAAAACTAACGCCATATAAATTGATAACTAAAACTGAAGTGCGTAAGGGAATATTGCAAGCATTACGGAAATAAAAATATGCTTATATTGAGACTGCAATATTAAACATCCTCACTTTTATTCTTCATTCAAACAAACACGAAAAATCAGTTTTCATTTAAAAAGCTGACCAAATTGACAAATAATTACACGTTTACACATTTTGAATCTCGTTCCACAGAAAGCAAATTTTGAACTAGGTTGGACAGGACGGAGATGACAAAAGAACGCCAATCAAAGGAAAAAAAGCAAATTCACATGGATGATTCAAACGGCAAAGCAATGAATAAGATGGGAAAGGAAATTGGAATATAAAGGAAACAAACGACGAAAGTTAAAAAATAATTGTGTTTAATTCTGTTTCACTCCTTTTTTTTTCCCTCATGGAACAGAATGAGGCGGCGATTCTTCTCAGCACGCAGACTTAAACAGAAGCCAAAAATCATCAGATTGCACACAAAATTTTCCAGCAGAGTGGCACCAATCATTACACTAGAAAAGATGTCATAAAATTGACTTAGGCTAGTTCTTTCGAAAGATATTAAAATTTTCGTACAGGGAAACCTTATTGCAGCGACTTGGTTTAAAAGAAACGATTCAGAACAATAACATAAACAACGAATCCGAAAGCTAATCCGAGCTAACGGGCTGTGCTTCGGTCTTTTTGCAGTTTTCTCCATGTCATAAAAGAGTTCTTCGTAGAAAGTTTTGTGCGAAGATATAACATCATTTAGGCAAACAGCCATCCTGCATTTTGAAGTGTTCAAACACACAAGCCAAAAGCAGCCTTCTCTCATAAATTTAAACTGTAGTGGGCCAGTTAGTGCATGAGAAATAATTATTTTTTATTTCATATATTTAATTATTTTATAAAATTAACTTTAATATTTTGTTAATATTCATATTTATATTTCTTTTATGCTGAATGGCAATAAGTAGTTCATATTTATATTTAAATTTCTTTATGCTGAATGGCAACTAGTTCTAGTTCTGATTCATGATTGCTAGGTTTTGGTTTCAAAACGTTGCTCGTAGCGTCGCATTTCGATAGCCGGAAAATAAAAGCAATAACTTAGCTATTTGTTTATAATTCATGCTGTTACTAGTCATAAATTAATACTGGCCCACTACAAAACTATACTTGCGCTCATTGCATTGATCTGTAGTGAAAGTATACCAGTCAGTGATTCGATTTTTTTTTTTTTTTTTTTTTTTTTTTGTTCCCCGTCGCACTCAGAAGCGGTGTAACACAGGGTGCCTGGGTCAAGGACACTGCCCCTTGTCGAACATGTAGGTTGTTTCGAATGCAGTCATGAATAACTATCATAAGATATAATAATTTTGTTTAAAATAAATTATGATCATATTTTTGAGTAATGGGAAAATAAGATATTCTAGCAGAAATAAAGTGTGCGCCGAGTTCCAATAAAGACCTGAAAATGCCATCTGGAAGAGCTGAGAAAGGGGAAAAAAGCTGGCTTTAACCTGAGTCCTAGAGATACATATAATACATACATACAGATAGTGTGAGTCAACTGGTGCACTTAAATCATAGCATAAGTCATACAGTACAGGTAAAGTAAGCAGTGATTCGAATCCCGACAGGAACACAGGGATTTTTCATGCTTCCTGCATAAGAAACGTCTAATTGTATTCTATGATGGTAGTTTGAACTATTAAATGTTGTGCACGATATCTTGTCACCACTTGGATTTGATCAACCACATCTCATGGCTTTTCCCAGTTGTCGTTTAAGTGAGGAAAAATATAAGGAATTTGCGCATTCTCCTTTCGTGATCGTGCGCAGCTGACTTCTCACATTTCCTGACCTTGTAAAATCCCTTCTCAATTTTTCGGCTCTATAAAATAGAATCTAACTCTACTTCTTGATTAACTGCTTCATTCTTTACAAGTAAACGCATATGTTATAGTAAATGTAAGCAAACTAAAAAAATTACATATAAAATTATTTATCTTTGAAACCTCTCCAGTAATGAATACGACATTTAGAAAATAAGTTACACTAAAAGCATGATTTGAAAGATGCTAAACAATCGAAATAGTAATATCAAAGATTGAAAACAAAAATGCAGAATATCCCAAGTGAAGTTTTGTAGTTTATAAAAAAATTGGGTCCATATGCACACAGTTTGGTCCAATTATTTACGTTGACAGTTGTGGAGAAAAATATTTCTACAAGTGGAAGCTTATAAGATTTCTAAAATTGTAGAGACAGGTTATTTTGAGGCTTGAGAGATGAAAAATTAGCTGGAGAGATGAAAAATTAGCAACCGCCTTTGCCGGGAATCAAACCACGGACCTCTGGAACCCCAGCCATACATCATTCCTAATCGATGAGGCTTAATATACATTGGTCAAACTGAGAGTATCTTGAAATTTTGCACTAAGGATTATGAGGGATGTGTTAAGAAAAACGGAACAGAAAAATACTCTGTTGCCCAAAATTGCTGGTAGAATAAATCACATTTTTCACGTCTTGAGCCAAAATTATTCAAAAAATCTTTCGTTGACGAATTAAATTTCCTAAAGGAATTTCACATTTATAAAAATCTTTTGCTTCTAGCTAATGATCCCAATTCTAGTCCTTCTTTACTTTTTAAAGAAATTATTTCATAGTTTTCACTTTTTGTCAATAAATGGTACCAATCAGATTTGATATTAGCTGAAACTTTCTCGAATAATTTTTCTTTTGTTATCGTGTCAGCACATGCTTCCTCTTCGTCATTATCTCGCTTCGAGTTGAAGAAGTAGGTCCTAGTTAATCTTAGAAATTGGTCCTGCAAACTTATGTTCCTTTAGTACCTTCAATATCAGTTCCTCGGCGTGTTTTTTTTTTTTTTTGGATAATATTCGATCCCTTATTATTTTAAATTAAATAAGTATGTAAACGTAGTAGTGTAATATACGGGGCTGCTTAACAGTTTTATATTTATTTACTTCAATGTTTTACTGACACAAAATTTCCCTGAGCTATCAGAAATTTATTCAAAACTGATGTACCCCATTTAATTTGGATGAAAGGCGTTCTGCTGTACTTTTCATTAATGATATACATAGTTTATGATGTACCAAACACGTATTAAGCAGTTTAACGTTCCCACAGGTGATCTCTGCACTGGTGGCTCAAGGTACCTAGGCAGTTACTTGAAAAGGCCTGCGTTCCTTGCGTAAGGTAACTAACTGGCTTTTGAGAACTGCACTAATACATTCCACAATAAAAAAGTATAAAAAAAAAAAAAAAAAAAAAAAAAAAAAAAAAAAAAAAAAATTACACACACTCATAAAATAAGAGCTGCCAACATTATCTTACATGAAGAGGGTAAAAGAAACAACTGTACAGAGGTAATTACAAGCCTCTGTTTAGGAACCAGTACTCCCTCAATATGCTCTATATTTAACACACAATCACCCATAAATTTTAATATGCATTTACCATAATTTCATATTACTTACCTGTACTAATTTCACTTATTTTTTACATCTACTTCATTTTTAGAATAATTATAAAATTCATATTCAAAATTTTCAACAAAATTTCAAAAATATAAAAACTTATCTTAATAGCCTTCTCTAAAAATAATTAAAAATCTAAGAATTCTATACTTGCTTTACTAAATTATTAGAATTCAAATTTTCGAATATTATTAAATTATATTTATTTATATCATAGTGTTCATTTTTAATGTCCAATTTATTAATAAAAAAATATCAGTTCCCAACTTAGATTCAGTTACGCAAAAGCAGAAGCGAAAATAATTTTTTGGCACTACTTTTAAGTGTCAATTTAATCCCATAACTGCGAATTTATTCGCATAAGAGCCGGATCAAGATATGCAGTTCGATGACCTTGAAAGCACTGGAAAGATTTGAAACGTTAGCACTCGGAAAACATTCTTCATTTTACTGTAAACAAACGCTGAATTAAATTTGAAAGGCTGGCACTAGATTTCATTTTTAAGCACTGGCAGCAAATCTATTATTCGATTTTTTTCACATTTTTATATTGCTGTTGAATTACGTTGCACTTCATAAATCACCGCATATGCTGGATTAAATTTCGAAGCATGGATTTTGACTTTAAATACACTTGTTTTGGAACGATTCCGTATAGTTGACTTGCTGATACTAGGTTGCGCACATAGATTGACGGAGCCTATATTGAAGATACAGGTATTAATTAACTAATTTACTTTCACCAGTCGTAGCCACAATTTGGATGATAACACTTCTATGAAGAATAGGCACACTTTAATGATTTTATGATGTTGGGATGCCCCAACTTGTCAGCAACAGTAGTAGTGACTGCTATGAACTGGAAATTACACAAACTCTTAAGAAGGGTTTAACTCCCTTTTTATTTCACTCACAGTTGCTTTCACTTGACGCTTACAAACTACGCCTACCCGGCGGTTGAACAAAATAGACAAAAATGCAACTAAAAATAAATGACAGGATGAATAAATAACGAAGTCACTACTACGAGGCTCTATAATCGTAACTAACGAACCGCGTTCTAAGATACAGCTGAGATTCAGCAAACTTCTGATTAAGAATTTGAAAGATTCAACGAACTGTCGAAATAAGCACACAGGCCGAAAACGCGCGGTTCTAAACTTTCTACCAAGCAACCTTCACGTTCGTGATTCAAGAAGCACACTTACAATCTCGCTTCCCTTCTATTTAAACTCAATTACTTCTGCTAAAATTTGAATACTCTGCGCGTTCTACTACGATTTACATACTCTGGCATTGGCAATTCTAGGGGAAAGTAAAGGCTTGACAGGAAAGATAGCTTAAAATAAATGTTAGTTAAAATAAATATAAACCGTACAATTTAAAACACATTTTTTTCTTCTAAACATTTAATAGATGGCTGTACACTTTGTTTTCACTGACGTTAGCACTTTTGGACTTGCAGGTACTTGATATTCATTATGAATTTCCGTTACACATGGAAGTTTGAGGAGATGGTTGGTTATTGCAGACATTTCTACTGAAATTCTAACGCACAGACATGTTTCCTGTCGACTCAATTGCAATATATTCAGGAGAAGGCATTTTGGTGGCGTAGATGTGTTGATCCATAATGACTAGGAAATTGGAGGAGAAGGTTCTGAAAATAAAATCTTTAGTTTTATTTTCTTTATTAGTTTATTAGTAATCTTTAGTTTTATTTCTGAAAATAAAATCTTTAGTTTTATTTTCAGCAACATATTGCGGCTACACACTAGTTGGCACATTAAATGTGCCTGTTCCAAAGAGCTTACACTTTTGATAGATTTGCAGCAAAAAAAGAAGAAGCACACAGACCGCAGCCCAGCTAAGGCAAAGCATAGAAAGAAAGTGCGTAATGTTCAGGATGAAATCTTAAGTCAAATTGAGTTAGTTTTGGTTCTCAAGGCATTTTGATTGGACAGTTAATATTGCTATAAAATTACTATTGGCTGTTTGAGTTTTAGTTTCATTTACATCATCAGAATTACATAAGAATCATATGACATAGATTTTTCTCGAAATGACGCAGTGCAAATAGAGGTTGCTATTTTTAGAATAGAGAAGGGAAATTAATTTACGCTGCTAATTTAATCTTTTACATGTTATTTATTTTACATATATATATTGTCGTGTGTGTGTGTGCACTTTGTAATTTAAGTAGATTGTAATTCTGAAATAAGTGAAAATATGCTAAGGCATTATAGATTTGTTTCATTGAATTCATTCTGCACTTAAATAAATGCTGAAGAATTGTTGCATAATAGCATTTTCTTCAGCATTAATTAAGCATTTGTAATTAATTTTTAAGGAATGCGTCTGTAATTTTTCAACGCAATTGAAATTTATTTTTTTAAGGAAAGCTAAGTCATTTATAAAATTTTTAATGTAAAAAAATATTACATAATTACATATAATTTTGTTTGCGAAATGAAATGATTGGCGTTGATAAATTACGTAATATTCTGAATATACAGTAAAAAAATTAAAAAGAGCCCTATGAATAGAATGTTAAAGGGGAACCCGTGTGAGGGGTTCAAATAAGAACCTCTGTGGCGGGCCTCGAAATTCCTCAAACCATCCCTAATTATGACGTTTACTGTAATAATTATTGCGCTATAGGCCTGCATAATAATGGCAGTGTTAAACGGCTGTTAAATAATTACAAAGCCAGACTGCAAATATACAATTGTCTAAAGGAGACAGGTGGAATTTAGAAATAAATCTACTAAATTAAAGGGAAACGAGAAACTGTACTATTATAAAGAATGCAAACTTGAGTAAATACGTTAGTGCTGCATCATTAAGTTACTTAAAACAAGGTAAGGTTAATTCATTTGATTACGGCGAAGCACACGAGGGTTGTCTGCCTAATGGGATGGATGCCATCGTAGAGGACTTTCTATGGGAAATTGGCTCGTATACACGTTACGTGTGGGGAAACTACGAAAACGCCCCTGCAGCCAATATTCAGCGATTTTACCGCACGGCAAACGGTGGGCCCTTGAAACAAATTAAGAGAAATTTTGTTAAATCAGATTTTGTTTTTATATTGAAATGGAATGAGAAACTTAGAAATAACTTCATCTATCTCTCTATATACATGAATATGATAAATGATATTTCTTCAGGTTTTTTACTCAAAAAGCCCTTTTTTTTTTCGCCCTCCTCACTGCGTATCTTCGTGATATAACTAGAAAGGACGTCTGGCTAGCATCCGGAGGTATTGAGTTCGAATTCCGGTGAGAGCATTGCATAATTTTCACATCTCCTCCTACGAAATAAAACACCTAATGACTCTAGAAATTAATGCATGCAGACAATGTGGATAGTTGCAAATGAAGAAAGAAAACAAAAGACAGATAACATGTGCTAGAAACCAGTGGGAATATTATCAAATTCGTTAACATTAAAGCTATAGAATTCATTCATAATCTTAATTACGATAAAAATTACATTAGACTGTCAGCATGAAACACGTTTAATCTCTGTTCAGGTCTTTCTTGCGTTATGTCAGGAAGTTTTTCATTAAATTGAAATCGTCCGTCAGATCAATACTCTTAGATGTAAGGAACATTACTGTTTTCTTAATGCAAGTTAAACAATTTGTCGCCCAGACAGTAGAGTGGTTTGGAGAGCCTAGTACGGTATCGAAGGGCCTGGGTTCGAATTCCGGAGAGGACATGGATGTTTGTAAATGTATAGTGTCTGTGCGACTGGGAGCACTCTAAATATGCGGTGAACCGAATGTCCTCTCGTGTGGTTTGGTGGAAAGGGAGAGAGGTGGAAGACCCTCCGGGCCGCGTAATGGCAGACCGCACATTGAGTTGAACAGGTTTTATAGTGTTAAACAAGTTCGTACTGCGCATGCCCAGAAAACAGTGGCGTAAGTACTATGTTGGCGCGATTTGAAAGAAGATATAAATACGTATGTGTATAGATGTACGCCATCTGATGTAAACAAATCTGCGTTTACTAGTCGTAGGTATAAGTAAATGTAAATTAATACTGTGTTAAATACTATTTTTTGCTGTACTGGCAAACAACTAGAAAGCTTAACTATTGCGAAGTATGTGAAAGCAGTGTTTGCATTCAAAGAAAAATAATACTATAAATTCTGCACATTCCTTTGAATGTACAAATTTCGTTCAGAAAAGACTGAAATTTAGATATATTAGTTGAAAGTTAGTCATTATACTTTTAATCAATAAAAAACAATTCAGATTACCATACTTCCTTCGAGCATAAGAAACACTGAGGAGTATACAGTGCTTGCAATAAACTGAATAAATTTACGTTCTTAAGCTAGTTTTAAATTTTGAAATAGAATAAAGCGCGAATCTACGATAACAAGTAAGCGAGAATGGGTTTACAATACTGATTAAACATGTAAACAAATTACATTATAACGAATTATTACGAACTATGTAACAATATTAAATGCACTTTTGACCCTTTACAATGAAAATATATTAGAAAATAAGCAAGTGCATTGGTATGGACGTTAAAATAACTAATAAGCAAAGTTCCACAACATTGCAGTTTGTAAACATCATTCGAAACACACTCGACAGCCATGGTGATCACGAATAAGTAGCGTAGGGGTTGCTTCTCCAAAATCTCCCCGCGCCAAAGGACCACCATCAAGCATGCGCAGTAAGCGAAATTTGCTTAACATTGTTCAACTCAATGTGCGATCTGCCATTACGCCTCCGGGCCCTGAACCACCTTCCGGGTTGATCTCCCCGAAAACTGGTGGGGAAGTAGAAGTCCAACCCTTTTGAAGCTTTGGCAACTATTCTTCCATGAAATACATGGATAAGACAACAACAACAACAACAACAATAGCAAAAACAGATTTCGTCATCTAAAGATTTGGTGACACCCCCAGGGTGCTCTTCCTCAAAACTGGAGTGAAATAGAATAGAAATTAGAAAATAGAACTTTAACCTCTCTTTGGAGTAAGCTCTGGCAGCCATTCTTCCATGTAATATGAACACAACAACAACACCAACAACAACGTTAAATAATTTGCAAGTAAGGTGAGAGTCATTCATGGCGGTCATACATTAACAATTTTATTCTTTGGATAACAAATGGTTCAGCAGTTTTACCAAATGCAGCAGTTTTACCAAATGCAGCAGTTTTACCAAAACCTGCTGCAGCAGAATGCATTTAAATCAACTCTGAAATTCATGTCATTGACGATCATCCTCGAGCTATAGATGGGGTTTATAGCTCGCAAGAATGTTCATTCTTGACAGTGTTTTGCAAAAAGTGCTTATTCCAGTGAGTAGCTATTCAAGAAAATTGATTGAAAATATGCGTAAGTACAACATGAACCAAAAATATTGACACCGAATGAAAAAAATATAATTATTTAAAATCAATTTTGGGAAAAATAATAGCATTTTCAAAGTTAGGAAGTCACTTTGGGATCAAAATACGAAGAAAGTTTCATTAAGCAACAATTATCTTCCTTTAATTTCTGTCAGTAATAAAGTGTATTGTGAGAGTGTATAATTTAATATGTAACTTTTAACTACGTTTGCTTCAAAATTTCTGTAAAGGATTAATAAAAATAACAAAATACGATGGCTGCTTTAAGAATGATTGGCGACCTCAAAATTAACTTTTCTAGATTTGGTGTTCTCCTCCTTAAATTCATCTGTTCAGCCTAATTCTAGATCTTTCCATGTTACATAACGCTGCTTGAAAAAGTTAACTAAAACCCAAATCAGTCACATATTAGCTGTAATAATGCACCTATCTAGTATAAATAGCTAATAACTGCGTAGCCTCTTCTCTTTCGCCTGCCCGCTGACGTGTCGCTCAGCCTCTGCCATTATTTAAAATGTAATTGCGATCTAAATTTATGGGGCACGTTTTGTCCCCTTAGTCTTCCATCAGTTCTGAAGATACGTGTTATTCAAAAATAAATTATGTTTAACTATCAAGCTGGTCGTGCTTCTTCTAAAATTCCACCGGATCAGTCCACTACGCACAGCATTTCCGATCATCTACGTAGCAGTAGTTTCGGCCGTGACTAGAACGTAAATTGTTTTTTTCTTACCCCCAGAAAAAGTAAAACATTACATATATATATATTTATCTAACGGCGGGCTCTTGCCTCTTCAGCACTGGCCATTAAGGCCATAAATGGTGGCCGTTTTATTGTGCAGGCACCTAGTATTTGGCCACAGTTGCCTTCTATGAAAGGACGGACAGTTACAACCATGCCTTCTCCGGAATTTGAACTCAGGCCATTCGGTACCACAGTAGGCTTCCTTACCCACTATACCACATGGTCGGCTTAAGTTAAAATATAAAAAGATTAATACATTACTTTTTCATACTGAAGAAAAGAAGATAAAAAGTCAAAACTGAAATTGAAGCAAGAAAAATAATTCATTTTCCTTTTTAATACATGCATTTTCAAATCTATTCCCGGAAGAAGCTGACCATGCTTGATTTTAAGTAAATTAAAGAACTTTCGTATACGGAGTTTCTCTTTGAATATCATATGCTTGTAAAAGTGACAAAAGGGTTTTTGGCGCTTCTTCTCAATCATCTTTTACAGCCCTTAGCTGGAACGAAAGCGATAAATAATGCATACGCATT